GCGATTTTTCTACCTCAGCCTCCCAAGTAGCTGGGGCCACAGGCACACACCACTACACCTGGTTAATTGTTGTATTTTTAGTAGAGAGAGGGTTTCTCCATGTTGGCCAGGCTGGTCTCAAACTCCTGACCTCAGGTGATCCGCATGCCTCGGCCTCCCGAAGACTTTTTGCTTACTTCTGCCTCCATACCCTGACCACACTTCATGCTCATCTTTTTCTTCTCAATGTCACACAGAATTTACCTAGCTGCCTCTCTCATGAGGCTGTGAGCTCTCTGCCAGCTCTATATCGTATTCATCTTCCTTACTTCACAGTGGCATACACAGTGCCTGATAAGCAGTAGAAATGCAGTAACAATAGCTAATGCAGTCCAGGCACGGGGGCTCGTGTCTGTCATCTGAGCACTTTGGAGGCTGAGGCAGGAGGATCACTTGAGCCTAGGAGTTCAAGACCAGCCTGGGCAATATAGGGAGACCACCTGTCTCTAAAATGAATTTAAATAATATAAAAGAATAGCTAGTACTTGTAAAGTATAAATATATGCTAGGCACCGCTCCAGTGTGTTATACACATTACTTTTTTAAGCCTATGAGGTAGATACAATTATTCCCATTTTGCAAGCGAGACAGATGTGAAGTTCAGGAAATAGTGAACCTAGTGAACCTAAATAGTGAACTCCAGGCGTTGTATCACAGCTATGATGAGAGCACTCTTGTCACCCATGCTGAGGCGGGGGAGGAGATTCTCAAAACTGAGGAAGACAGCTCCCGCGCCTCCTGCCAGCATGGCTGGGCCATCCCAGCCTGAGCCTGTGCTGCCCCCTGCTGGCCAACTCTGCCCTCCCTGCAGGCTCCCTTTCCTACCCGGAGCACCTGTGTTGGGAACCAACACAGCCTTAAGTCCCCTCTGCCGCCAGAGCTCGAGTCTAGGGTCTGACAGCAAGCACAGGATGTGCTCAGTGGGGAAGAGAATCAGAAGATCTCGCTAGGAATGTGCAAGGATTTCCCCCGAATCCACATACCTAAGGACTGCCTCCCTCATAAGAGAAGGCTGTAAGAAACCACTCAAAGAAACCCAATGGGGAAAGTCAACTCAGCGTCCCTAAATGCCATTGCCTGTACCCAAAACCAATAGAAACGTTTACTTGTTTAAGGAAACGCTTAGGTAAGTATTTGGATTATTCTTAACATTAGACTCTCCTTTAGGATGGAATACTGAGTGCTAAATTAACACATTGGCTCTTAATTAGGGTGCCTCGTGGAACTATTCAAAAATACCGATGCCCAGGCTCCGTTCCAAGCCTTCTCAATCAGAACCACCGGGAGGTGCTACTTCTTCTCCAGGCTAGCCTCGAACCTAGATTTTCCCAAACCCCAAAGCTCCCAGACCATTTAACATCTCACCTTTCCAGCTGGAGGAAAACCAATACCTTTCCATTTGTACTTCAGTGAAAACGCTAATCGTCTAGAGAACACTCCTCCGGGGTGTCTGACCCTAGTCTTTCATTGACTTTGAGCTATTTTACAAAATAGCTAATTGGTAGCAATGCAAAAATAAAAATAAAAAATTCTTGTCTATAAACATGCAAATTATATCCTGTCTAGTAGAAAGTCAGTTGATCTTGCTTTCCCTTTGGGGGAAAAAGCAAGTCCGTTTGCCTCCATATGCATGTTTATTTCCTCATTCCTGGTCTACAAATGAGTCTGTTCTTCATATTCCTTTTGAACCTGTTATAATATCTGCCTGATTTCTTCAGTGATCATTGAGTTAAATAAAATCTTAAACATGTTCATTTTTTATCTATATGAGAGTTTTGCTAAGTACCAACTCAGTCGGGAGACCCCCACCCAGGCGGCACTGAAGGCAATGAGAGACAGACATTCAGAACACCAAAGTGGGTCTATTCAGGGGGCCAGCAACCTGTCTAGCTGAAAGCCTCAGGGGCTGACAGCTTTCCAGGCTGAAGGCCCCAAGCAGATTCTGATCCATGTAGCTATTCTCTCTTAACAGGTGATTATTATTAATAAACAGGTGTTCTGTATTCACTCATAACTCAAAAATATACCAAGTAGGCAGCTGTTACCCTCTCTCCACTAATTACAAACTAAAAGGTATTCTCCACAAGGGAGCCACGGGGACAGTGTAAACTTAATGTTTCTCGACATCTTCCCCCTTCTTTGTTTCAACACAGCTAGGTCAGCAAGTACAGCTCTATCTTGGCGAACCATTTATCGGAGGATTCTGGATCTGAACCTGCAAACTATGCATAGAGAAACAAAACAGATTAATAACTTAATCACAACAGAAGCACAGATCCTCCAGGTGTTTCCATCCAAATTTAGGGCTGCCAGTCCACCAGTAGCTCCCTCAAGCACCTTGGAGCCTGTCTGCTCTTACATGTCTACCTTAAGGGGTTGGGACCCAGAAATCTTTTGGGAAAGAGGGCGGAGGTCATTCTTCTGTAACTGCTTCCTGCTGAAAAGGGGCTTTGAGGTTCTTCCAGGTCTCTCCTCCTGACTTGCTGTCTAAGGCCTTCCCAGATGCTGTTTTATTCTCTCCCAATTATGTTCAGTCTCATTACACCTTTAAAGTTAATAAAGTCAATTTGTAACTCTCTCATCATCACAATATAGGAGGGGTTTAACACAGCTCTGAATCTAAAGAGCTTTTATTTCTTATAAACTTCTAATGAATACAAATTAGGGCCTGATTCTCTATTATATTTTCCTTCCCAGACTTTTATCTGTTTTAGGGCCATAGGTATTTTTCAAAGTTCTTTTTATTCAGCTCTTAACATTGACCATACTATTGTGGCAAAATGATAATTTGTGTATCAAGATACAAAACAAAGAGAAATGAAACTAAAATGCAAGCTGATATGAGGGTTTGTTTATTCTGACAGAGGTCTGCAAAGGTCCAGAGGGAAGGTCTAGGAGAGGAACGGCCATGCCATTCCACAAACCGTCCTGTGTCTGCTTGTTCACCAGGCTTCCTCTGCATACATAGTTGTCTGGAGCTCAGTACAGGGCTTTGCTCAATAAAGATTTGTGGAAGGTCCTAGAATGTGGCCCCATCCCCTCCACTCTGCGAAGAAAGGCTTCAGGGCTCACAGTAGCACTTCCGTTTCTGGGAGGTTGATGTCTTGTCACCTCCACCCTCTTGGTTTTCCTCCTACTCACTCTCACTTCTTAGTCCTCTTTCATCTTAACTCTAAAAGTTAGAATTCCCCGGGGGTTCTGCTCCAGGCCTCTTCTCCATTCTGTCTTCCCCCTTTCTTCACTCTCATCGAGTATCTACAGTCCAACCCTCTCTCCGTATTTCAGGCTCATATATTCAACTGCAACTAGACATCGACACTTGGATGAATTATAGCCATCTCAAATTTAGCACGTCCAACTTGGAACTCTCTAATTTCCCCGCAAATCTGGTTCTGTCCAGCCTGCCCCGTCTCAGTAAACAACCCCACCATCCACCGGGTCACTTCTCCCTTGCCCTCATTCCCCAACATCTGATCCGTACTGTAAATTTTTCCCCAGAACTACAACCCGAATCTGTCCACTCGTCACCCTCTCCATGGCCACCGTCACCCTCACCTGGACTTCTTCAGCAGCTTCCTAACTAATCTCATCCCTCTACTCTGGGCCCCGTATCATCCATCCTCCCACAGAAGCCAGACTGGTCTTTCAAAAATATAAATCAGAAAAGTTACTCTCCTGCTCCAAACCTTCAATGTTCTCCCATTGTTTAGAATAAAAATGCACACTGTCGTCTACACCATCTGCCTGGCTGCCTGGTCCACTTCTCCAGCCTCATTTTGTGCCCACCAACTCTACTCCCAGGGACCTCCTTGTCCAGCTCCTGCATTCCTCAGCCTTCTCTCTTTCTGGGACATTTTTTCAGGCTTCTTGTCATCCAGAACTCAATTCAAATGACATCTTCCCAGATCTACATAAGGAAAGCTGCCCTGCCCATTCAACTTTAGACATCATCTTCTTTATTTGTTTACTACCTGCTTTCCCTTTTCCTGGCACACTAGAATGGAAGCACCCTGCAAGCAAAGTTTCCACTGTATCTCCAGTACCTGCTGAACCAAGTGCTCATACATATTTGTTGAAAGAATTAATTACCACATGGCAATTGTATATATTTTTAAATATCCTTATTTGGCAGAATTAAAAGCTGCCAATTCTGTGTAAGTCCCTATTTAAAAAACAGGACTATTTGTAAGCCCAGGACTATTTTAATAGAAGAACTGGCTGCAAGCCCCTTACAACATAGGTGTTATAAGGAAAACAGGAGAAGAAGGAAGAAAGAGGGACAGTGGATAGGTGAAAGGAGGGGTGAATGGTGGGTGAGTGGGTGGATGTGTGGATAGGCAAGTGCTCAGATGGATTGAGCATGAGTGAATGAGTGTGTGGATAGATGAAGGGTGGGTGAGTGGGTGGGTGGATGAATGGTGGATGGGTGGGTGGATGAGTGGGTGGGTGGATGAGTGGGTGGATGAATGGGTGGATGAGTGGGTGAGTTGGTAGATGGGTGGGTGAGTGGCTGGGTGGATGAGTGGTGAATGGGTGGATGGATGGTAGATGGGTGGGTGGGATTGGATGGGTGGGTGAGTGGGTGAATGGGTGAATGAGTGGGTGAGTGGATGAGCCTGTAGTGAGTAGATGAGTGAATGGGTGGCTGGCTGGGTGAGCAAGTGGAGGGTATGCTCTGGGAAGGTGTAAGTTGAGCCAGGGGAGGTGGACACAGTTGGCTTCCCTAGGCCGCCTACCTTGCGGGGTCACCAAGGGGTTACATCGGGTCAGAAAGCCGCAGCTGTGGGTCGCCTCGCCCGGGTTTCCAGCAGCAGCGCCCCGGCTCCCACTTAGCACACAGGCAGCTGTCCCGCCGGGGCCCCAGCAGTGCTCAGGGCGCCCCCCTCCGACTCGCGTGCTCAGGTGCGCTCCCGGACTAGGGCGCATGCGCCTAGGTGAGTGCCCGCCCCGCCCCCGGGCTTGGCCACCTGCCCAGGAAACTTGTTGGTTGTTTCCCTCGGATCTCTCCGGGACGGGAACACGGAACAGGGGCATGGAAGATCCGTCGGGCGCTCGCGAGCCCCGGGCCCGGCCAAGGGAGCGGGACCCGGGCCGGCACCCCAACCCGGACCGAGACCGCGCCCACGAGCGACACCGGAACCGACCCAGGGACCCGCAGACGGAGCGAAGCAGCGACGGGAACCGGCGAGGGGACCGGGATCGGGAGAGAGACCGAGAGAGGGACCGGGATCGGGAGAGAGACCGGGAGAGGCACCGGGAAAGGGAGAGAGACCGGGACCGAGGCCCCCGCCGGGACAGACACAGGGACTCGGGCCCTCGGGCAGGTGAACACGGAGTTTGGGAAAAGCCGCGCCAAAGCTGGACGCGGGACGGAGCCCGGGGACCAACCTGGGACGCAGCCGCGCCTCCTGGGCCTGCGCCCTGGGAAGCCCCGCAGCGGCCGCCGCAGAGGAAGGGGGACCCCGGGCGCCGCGCACCCGAAAGGTGAGAGGGGCTGGGGCGCCGCGACCTCCGCGCCGGAGACACGTGGGGCCCAGGCCAACCCGCGCGGCCTGGTGTCCCCGGGTTCTCGTCCTAGGAGCCGGTCATCAGGAACAAATGCCGTTTCTCCCTTCCGCGCTCTAAGAGACTATCTGGCGTGGAAGGAAAAGTTTAGGGTTCCCCCTCCTCAGGACCTGAACCCAATTAACAAAGCAGAAACCGCCCCTGTGAGCAGTGGCTGGGCTGGGGGACCTGGAGAAGAGGAAGAAAGCCACCCCAGGACCGGAGAGGGAGGGGTGGGAGGCAACCGGGTGTGTGGGGTTAACCCCAGTCTCCTCCCCGGCCGGCCCCGCCTGGTCACAGGACTGCACCTTGGGGTTCAGACCCTTGTCCGGTGTTCCAGAGCTAGCCCAACCCGACTCCAAAGTCCCCTTCCCTGTGGCCGGGTGGCCCAGTTGGGAAGCCCAATGAATAGTTAATAGTTTAATGAGTTACCCCTCACAGGAATATATGCCTTCAAAAACAGGTGGGCTGGGCACGGTGGCTCAAGACTGGCAAAAGGGAAAACAAACCTGTACCCTTCAGTGGGGGAATTTTAGGTAGACTTAGTTCTTTGGTTAAAAATGTAGATCCCACACCTGTCTTTTTTTTTTTTTTTTTTTTTTTTTTTCTTTTGGAGACAGAGTCTTGCTCTGTTGTCCAGGCTGGAATGCAGTGGCGCGTTTCAAGACTCTATTCCAAGCACTTTAAGAGGCCGAGGCGGGCGGATCACCTGAGGCCCGGAGTTCGAGACCAACCTGGTCAACATGGTGAAACCCCGTCTCTACTAAAAATACAAAAATTAGCAGGGTGTGGAGGCGCGCACCTGTAGTCCCAGCTACTCGGGAGGCTGAGACACGAGAATCTCTTGAACCCAGGAGGTGGAAGTTGCAGTGAGCCGAGATCGCGCCACTGCATTCCAGCCTGGACAACAGAGCAAGACTCTGTCTCCAAAA